TTGTGCCTCCATGGACGCTTCCTCGCCCAGTCGATAGTTCAAGTGGATCAAAGCACTCTCGTATGTATAGGAATCACACTCAACGTTGAAGGATGTGAAGTCTGAGATCAGTGCGTCCATCTTCATATGAGGGAGCTTATATTCGTTGCTTCCATGTATGTCGATGGATTTTTCGATCTCCTTTTCAAGTGTAATGCAAGTTTTTGACACCGTATCCACATGCAACTCATAAAACGAGGTTTCTACAGCATCAATAAGATCCTCGATCGTTCGAATGCACTTTTGATACTGCAGGCTTTGAATAGAGTTAAAATATCCTAAGTCTAAAACGTTAAAATCTGGACTATTCGGCGGCTGATTCATCACTTCAATTCCGTTGATACTTCGCGACTTCAGCATACTTGATGTCAAGCACTTGTGGGGGTTGGCATTATCTTCTTGGATTATAACACCAGTCTGCGGTGGGAACTTTGAACTGTATCACAGGCACGCCAAGCAGTGTTTCGTACACCACCTGGCGCTCATCAGAGCGGAGGTGGGTGCTTACGCTTCGCGGTGCGTCGACGGGACGAGGATCGACGCAACGAAAGTTGGTGTGGTGCGAGTGCATAGTGAGGGTAGTGTCGTGGAGGGTACAGTGTTGGGGCAACATGAACATTCGTGTAATGATAATGTTTTAATGGCACCCAATAATATCTCGACAACCAAAATGCTCAAGAAAGCTCGCAAACTACCCAATCCAAGCCGAGTTCTTGCGCTTTTTGATGTACCAATCGCAGAAAAAATGGGTGAACCACTGTACTGAGGTTGTGTTCGGCTTCACTGCCAAGAGCCTTTGCTGCCAAGAAGCAATATCCTATAAACTTGTGAACAACATGTATATATATAATAGATATTATGTAAAATATATCGACCGTCAAATGTCATTGGTCGATTTGCTTCACCAATCGCCACGTCTCCACTGTCCTTGAGTTGAGCAACCTTATGCTTGTACCCGCATGCAAAGTCTGAATCGTTGTTAATGTATGAATCAAATCAAGGTTTATGCACGCATATCGTACCTGCCAATAGTGTTTCCAGTTCATCGGACACGCGGACATTGGACTCTTTATACATGAACTTGATGGCGCTCTTGCATGCGTTAACAGTAGAGTATGACTTGAACTGATGTGGTTCAACCTCAGCACCACTTGGTCCTCGTTTCACCCATTCATACGCTAAGAAGCCTTTGCAGGCGATTGGATCGAGGGGAAGATCAACCACACCATTGGTCATACAACCAGGATGCTCGCGTAACAGCCATGCTTTAAGGAGTATGAGCGTCCTCTCGTACTGATAGCGTGTCTTGCTACCATACCTAAGCAACATCACCTGGTCCCCTGTTCTTGAATCACCTGGACTTATGTGGTCGGCGTGCGACACCACATAGGCCGTCCGCTCGGGTGCTTGCATTGCAAAATAGTGACTCTGAAACTCTATCCGGATACAAAATTTCGTTCTATTTCGTAAAACCCATTATATCTCTGGATATAATTTTGGCATACAAATGTCAAATCAAATTATGTCCAGTATCTGGGTTTACGAAATTTCGTGTTTCGTATCTCCCATTGTATCCGGCACATTATTTTCGTAAAACATATATATTTGTACATACTGTCCGTTTGGGCAAGCAACTTTTCTACTCCACCGATTTTGATGATTTCTTTTGCAATCGCTTCATCTTGAATTATATGCGTTGCAGCCTGGGTGTCAGAGCTCCAGCTCATGCGCAGCGTGTGGAGTTTGCTTGCGCTGGCACGCAGATTTCTGCACGGATCTGAACAATTCTAATCGTGACTGACACAGTTGCACGACACTACCCGAACATATTATTTTGAATCTGAGTCAGTATTACTATTCATTGTATCAGAATTTTAGTAAATTACAGTTTGGTTGTATACAAACCGGAAATAAATACAATTTAAATTTAATAAACTTGACTTCGCGCCGAAAATTCAATTCAAGTTTATTTCAAACAGGAGCAATTTCAAGCAAAATGAACCCCCTCACACACTGTAGGTTTAACTCCTCAATTTGAATATATCTTTGAATTACTCAAATTCATATTGGTCTAAAAGTTATGGAAGTTTCGAGCAATTCATTCCTTTTGCCCAAACGGACAGTATATATACGAGGATGTTGCATGGTTCATTTCGACTGCATTTTTTTACTGACCGTGTGAGTTCACAGTAAATTTTTAATTTGAGTTGTTCCATTTTCATCGGGCACACGACACAATTCATCGGGCAGATGGCCAATTACTTGGGCACAGGGCTAATTATATCGGGCACACCGCCAAATATACCGGGCGCACGGCCAAATACAATCGGGCATTCGTCCAACTTAACTGTGTAATTGTATTCTAGAGGCACTACCAACCAAGCACACTATATACTAACTACTACTGTACATACTCGTGTCAGCTACTGCCCTGACGCCAACTTGACGACACTGGTGATTTTGAGCTTGCGTTCGTTGCGAATGATGGGCAAGAGCAGGAGTTCCAGCATAAGCCCCGCTAAAAAGATGAGCGACGTGACGAAGAAGCAGAACCGGTAGCCGTATCGCTCGATCAAGAAGCCGCCGGCCATGGCGCTCCCGGAGTAGCAAAACATCGTCAGGCCTTCCAGGGCATTCCACCGTCCTCGCCACGCTTTCGGCACGTGATCCATGAGAATCGATCCACGAAGCGGTCCCGAGCATCGCATGAAGGCAGTCCTGCGCACCAACTTTAATATCCCCTCGACATCGTAAAAAGAGATAGGTATAATAGAGTTCAATCAGTGGTTCGAATAGAATAAAAAAAATGGATAATATAAATTTAACATAAATATCATAGCCAGGTCTACTAGTAGATTACTTACTACCTACGCATCAACTCAACTATGCGGTCGAAATAAAATATTCACAATGAAATACGATAAATAATATATTTGTATATCTATATTCGACGTACCGCGTCAAGTACAATGTGATTTCGAGCCACAATGGCTCGGCGTACGAGATCGAAAACAACACGATCGATGCCAAAACACGCGTTCCAATCACGGTTTCAATGTCGCCAAGCCGCCTACACCAATAACAATCATTAAACATTTGGAAGAAGAATAATATTTTAGATTCGAGACTAGGATGACAAGAATTAGAAGACGCAACGACAGGAGGAGTATATATCGACAATTATATATATATATATATCAACGTACGCCGAGAATCGCTTGGTTAGGGACGTGAGCAACACAACCAAAGCGGGTTGGATCACAAAGAGCAGGTTCACTTGCGAAGGCGTTAGGCCGTATACGTTTTGAAAAAACAGCGGAAAAAAGCTGATCGACAGGCCGGCGCCGTTGTACATGATAAAGTCGGTCACGAACAAGATGAAGGGAATGTGGCGTGGACCGAGGCAGTAAAATGTGTTGGCGGTTTCCCATACTATATCGACAGTTGAATAAGATTAGCAAGCGAAACGAATTTGTAATTAAATTGAAGTAAATGCCCTCAAACAAGAATAAATCAATTACAACAACAAACCACTATCGGCGTCAGCATTTGGAATCAGACCAACCACACGATGCAAGCATGTAGGAAACATAAACCAACAGATCCATCGCCCTGAAAAAGTACTATGAAATGGTCACCAATATAAAAAACGAAATAAATAATTAATTCAACCAATTGCCAATATATTGTTGGATATTCCCACGAACAAAAGGGATATTGTCATCACGAAGTGGTGTAAAAAAATGAGAAACATATTCCAAACAATCACCAAAATCCCTACAAAAAAGGGATATATATCGTTCTACATATATAATTGACTATATAGTAGTACTCTGGCACCCACACCACGTCCCAAAGAGTTTTCTACCGATCTTTATCCCGTCATAACTTTACGGCCAACATCATGATGCAAAATCAAAAAAATATACATATATCCGTGCAAACAACCAAACAGAGAGAAAGATGCATCCTAGACATCAACAATATGATCATTATCCTATGGAGCGCGTACATACATTCTGGTGGTTCATCGTCCGTATCGTTTTGCAACAACAACGTCCGCTCTTTGCCCCGCGGTGTCACATCTAGGTCGGACAATTCGCCATCTTCGATGATCGACAGCCGGTTGTTGGCTCGTCGGTTGTTTTCGTACGCGAGGTCGTCGTTGAAGAAAAAGAGCACCGCGATACCAGGAATACCCACAATCATGCCGCCGCACAAGACGATTTGAAGGCCGGAAAGGGACCACGAGTCGCCGTAGATGTAGAAGAACACAATGCTAGCGATGGGGCCAAGGGTGCCGGCGACACTCATCAAAATGTACCTGGTGGTCATCGGGCCTTCGCGCTGGCCGTTGGGGATGGAGTCGGCGAAGAGGGCTTCGGTCGCGGGGTCCTGAATTGCAAAGTACCCACCCCAGCACGCGTACGCCACGTATAGCACCAGGATATGGCCCTGCACAAGAGTCATTAGGTTCTGATCTCCACGTGGTGTATATATATGAGTGGCCATGATGAGTAATATATCGAGGGATTGATGCGAACGGCACACACCTACCGATACATATGCCGACAGACTCATGGCGGCACAAATCAAGCCCAACACAGCGGCAAACTTGAGCACAATGTCGCGGCGGAACCGATCTGACGCGTAGCCCGCGGGAAACGTCACAAGCATGCGCACGAGGCCGTTGATACCCGTGACCATGCCCACGGGCTCGTTCGATCCGGTCAAGACGTAGATGTAGCCAGCCAACATTTGGCCCAAGATAATATTGCGCGACGACCAGAACAATGCCGTGTACAAGTACGTTAAGCGCACGTTGTGCTCGAGCGCATTGTACTGCTTGACGAGACGACCCAGCATACTAGTATGTAGATTGTGTTGTCCGTGTGTTGAATGACCAAACAAAGTGTGGAGACCGCCGCGGAGAACGTCGATGGATTGGACGCGACATCGTTCCAACCTTGGATTCGTTTCAACCTCCAAGGTAGCATATGGAAAGCAGATAATATATGCTTATTTAAACCTGTGTAAATGTATGCCGTTTCAAAAAGAATTTAAGAAATACTATATGAAGTTTAGAGCATCCCCACCAGTGCGACTGTATACTATTTTACGACTAATCACCTACTAGGTGAGCCGGTTGCTCTGCTGCCGGAGTTAACAGTAATTGTCGGTTGGAGCAAGTTTCTACTTATTTGTCGTCGTACCGGTAGTTGAGCCTCGCATAGTTTTCAGACATATTCTGTATGTAGTATGAGTTTGTAGTATGCGTTTTCAAAACTCTGCGGTAGAACGGGGTTCGGTATTTTGAAGATGGGAATTAGTGCATGTGCTGTGGGGTCCACTGGAAGTAGGAAAGGCTCCGGTAGAATCCTTGGAACTATGCTAAGACGAATTCGCACATCTAAACTCAGTAACGATGTGGTCTTTGACGCGTTGGCTTGAAAGCAGTTAGCCCCGCCTCGCAGGAACATCCATTTGCTCGCTGTTTGACACGTGACGTGTATGTCAGAATGCATGTCGGTGTCAACTTGCGTGTATGTCCAATCGCATCGCTAAGTATCTCGTGATAATGTTGGTCAAAACACAGTTGGCGCCATCTCGCGGGCACTCCAATAGCTCCGCAGATTGACTCATGATGTGTTTGTTGGTCAGAGTGCAGTCGACCTATCTTGCAGGTACGACCGCTGTATTCGATGTGGTGAACAGTACTTCCGTATACACTTCGGAAGGCGTTCGTAAGTCAAGTAGCAGTTGTTTCGAACTATCAACGTGTTGTGTGGCATCACATAAGGAACAATAATGCTGTAGAAAGTTGGTATGCACGATGGAAGTGGATTTGTTTCTTGAATAGTTGTGAACCGGTTTGAGTTCAGACTTTGCAGAATCACATGACGACCTTCTGTCGGTTCGCTGCCGTGTACCTCCATGATAACCGCTATCTGAGCTACGGTAGGCAAGTTGTGTGTTGAAGTCTGCGCGCCATCAACAGCCTTCAGAACGATTTGAAGATTGCCCCCCCGAAGTCCCGTCCGCTTCCGCTCGACGCAAACGTTCTTTGACAGTTGCATACGTCCTCGTCAATGGGTTGTGGAGATCCGTCACTAGCTGTATCGTGGCAATGTACAACGAACTGAACGCCGGAAACATGTTTCGTCGGTGTTGAAGGTGCTCTTAGCTGGTGTGCATGTAGATTTGGGCAAAACGTGGTTGCCGCAGGTTTCCACTTCTCTTGAGGCTGGGCTGCAACGGACCAATGTTGTGGGTCAGCTGGCCTTGAATGCAATACGTTTTGAGGCCGCTGCGGCTGTGCTTGACCTCGTTAGTTCCAATGGAAGTGAAGTTGAACTGAGCGTTGTACTGACGGATGTGCTCGATGAAGTTGCGCTGCTTGAAGTGATCTTTGAACGCTTGCATTTCTGGCGAGTCTGGAAAAACGGAAGGATCCATCTTGACCTTGCCCTTCAAACAACAGGGCAGGTTCTTGTAGTCGTGGGGTGTCAACTTTGCT